TCTTCGTTGGCTATAATAAAGTTTAATTTCCCCAACACACAAGATAAATCTACACCGTCAGGGTTCTGGCAAATGAAGATAAAGCGTGGACAGGGACGGGGAATTGCGTACATTTTGGGGGGAAAGGATGCGCTCGCGTGGGTGAAGAGGGCTGTGAAGTTAAAATGCTTTCAAACACCTCGGACTGCAGGATGGGGGGGGACACATCATTGTTCAGGATGCGAGTGGTGGCAAGTATTCAGTTGTTCCTCTTCCATTTCCCAAAAAAAACACAAAATGGTCACACATAATTCCTTATCTGCAATTTCCTTTCAAATTTCGCCTACTATGCAATATTAATGGTTCCAGACGCACACACACAAAGAAATTCGCTAAGAACTTCAATATGTAAGGGAAATTACGGGAAGGGTAATAATTTTTCAAAAACCTCCAGCACACGTGGAATGATTATATGTAACGACGGTAAGGTTTATTACGGCTGGTGCCATGCGGCAGCGCCAGGGCGTCCAAGTGCCGTCACGGTTTCTTTTCGAGAAACGCACACTCCCTTTTCAGCGACATTTAAATCCCCATTTAATTGTCAATTAGTTCCCCTGCCTGCCAAGGCTGGTGGCCAACCGAGGAATCCATGCACCGATAGGATCCCACAAGGGCCAACTTAGGAATCCATGCACCGATAGGATCCCGCAAGGGGGCGGGGGGGTGGACGCTTGGACCGTTCGATGCATCACACCCTCCTCCCACCCGCGCCCCGCTCCCTCGAAATAACCAAGGTGCAGAATATTTTATCTGATACATTCTCAGAGGAGAATACATGTCCACGTGGGCCGCAGGGACGGACGCAACTGAAGGATACTTGCTTCTTCGCACAGATAAACACTGCAGTTAATTTGTTTGCCTTCCCAGGGGCTAAATAACAGAAATGTGTCTGAAATTACAGCGAATTTAGGCATTGGAGAGCCCGGGAGTAAACTCGGATTATGCCGGGTGGCAGCACAGTGTTGGTCGTGGAAACTGCATGACCAACACTCCACAAGACATCCCAAAGCATTGCAATCGCCATTACCCTCCGAGTAAGTGCAATGCAGCGTTGTGCCAGCACACGTTCTGGTAAGCCTTAACTATTGATGGGATCTCCGTGAATGGGCAACAGTGATTAAGATGTCCTAATCTTAATCACTTATTCATCAACAGCCTTCTCACAAAGGAAAATAAACACACGCAGCTAAAAGTTTGAGGCAGTCCTGACGAAAGCCAGCCTCTCCAACTGCTGGCTGAGCCTTTGAACTGAATTTCTGGCTCCAGCGAAAGAGCCAGCATCCTCTTAGGCAGACACTGCCATTACTCTTTAAATGAATTTGTCAGCATATTTATGCCTGCAAAGCTGCTTAAAAAATAGGAAAGGAAAAAAATATCACTATAATTTAAGCCATTAAATATTTTCCCCCATAAAATGTATGTGCACTTCAAATAGAGTTTTGTTTTTAAATACATTTTTTGTATGGACTTCAACCCAAAAAAGTAATTTATTAAGGGTTTTCCCTGTAGTGAAAGAGCTCCACTTTGTCAATGTTTGGATACTATAATGGTACTCATTTTAATTAATGTACCTGCCAAGAGGACATCATGAATACGAGTACGCTAGCAGAGAAGGCAGGCGGCAGATATAGGCAATTTAGTCATTCCCAGATTGATGTGCTGAAGTTAAGTATAGCTGCACATTTTCTTTATTCATCCTCGGAAGACCCACCGGCTAACACAGCAGGACGTACAATGCTTCACCCAGTGTCGTTTTAATTCGCCTGCATTTTTTATAACTATTAAGGAATGCTGGCAGCCCCATGTAGAGATAGCATGAACCATTAATCGCTTACTCTAAGAGTAAGGGCCTGCTAAAGCCCTACTGCCATTCTACACCACTTACTGAGCAGCTAATAATGATGCATTGATTAATCGATTATAATTTATTCTTGAGCTTGGAATGTATGCATCACATCAAAATATATTATTTCCGATTAATGCACAAAGTATGCAAGAATTACATTTAGGCTTGCGGTACAAACAATAATGTAACAACCTCACAGAAATATGAGAAAATGCAAGCGGTATGGTGAAAAACAGACAAAAAATCCATTCTGGAATGGAATTGCGACCAGAGATTGTGAAGCTAAATCCTGACAATTCACCAAAACATACCGCACCTTATGAAGCTCCACATTGGGCCGGAATGCTACAAAACATTTTCAGTATTCACTTGAAAGGCCTGAACAAAAATATTTTCCACCCAATCGTCTTCAGCAATGGAAGCTCCTGAAAGGTCGCGTGATGGCCATGTGCCCGGATTAATTAAGACTCGTTAAAACAGAACTAGCAAACTGGTGGCATGGCATCGTTAAGATGGGTCCTGGTGAACGGAACGGAATCGGGCCCTAGGTTGTCCAAATTTCCCCCCCTCCCCCATTCGTAGCCAGGCACCTCTGTCCTGTAGGCCCTGGTGCAGTTGCACCGCCTGGTGTGAGTGCCCGGTCATACAACTCTCCATCAATTTCCACCCCCCGCCCCCTTGCCCCCTCCCACCTCCCCAATCATGACAGTGAGGAGAACCAAAATCTCAAAATAGCATCAGTGCTAATGATGAGAGAGCGGGAGGCAGAAGAGGGGGATAGAGGGTGGTGGGAAGAAGAAAAAAAACTACGCCAAGCACCATGGACTTCCTGTTGCTGATGCTTACCAGAAAAGGCGCTTACAAGAAACAGAGGAGGACCTTGATGGCATCTCCCATGTCCGTTTATTACAAGTAAAGGTCAATAGTTGGCAAAGCGTGGCTTTTAGGCTTTGTAAACCCCAGGCCTATTAATTCTTTGCAGTCTAGACACACTTGACAGCGAAATCAATACTGTAGCCTCAACTCTGAACTCAGAATGTATTGTGCACATACAAAACAAGATAATAAAAGCTTTTTGTCATTTTCGGCAAAAGACAAATTGCATACGGTTTATGCAGCATTGTTTTCCATTTTTGTGGTTTGTATCGTAATACCAATTACTATATAATTAACTGTTAATACCACATTTCGCAAGCTGGACCTCGACTCAAATTTGACTACAAGGCCAAAGGCAATCTGTTGCAATGTGCGGCAAGCTATAGGTCATGTGCAAGGAGTCGCACGGGACTACAGGAGAAGCATTATTTATCTTGGACAAGCATATATGTAGGTCATTACAAATGTGCTTGTGTTTGTCTAAAGTTCACACACTTTTATATGCCATCACCGAAAGTTCATATACCTTGGTCTCGCTTCAAACATTTTGGGTCTCATTTTTCAGCCGGCATGCAAAGTGCAATTGTAAAGAATGCATGATTAAAAATGTCGTTTAATTGTAAGCCACGGCGTTATTGCATTCTTAAATTGCCCAACAAAATATGCGGTAAACGTACGGCACAAATATAACCGTTATTAAACTTTATTCAATTGTGATGCCACTAACGATGAAATTCTCCAACGATAATGGCTGTAATTTTTCAGAGAGGGGCCAATATTGTGTTGCAAGGTCACAAGCGAAATTAAAGCTCCGAGTAATTTGACTGGTGGCACAACAAAGGGGTTAACGGGTGAAGTGATCAGAGCAGCAGCGCCAGGAGCCTCACTTGCGAGAAAATGGGAGCCAGTCAGCGTGTGGCATTTATAAAACAGCCCGAGTATGTTCCCGGGGCTTTATCAGTCAAAAGAATACGGCAAGAGAACTGGCAAATCCTCCCCCCGGACTCATTCGCATGTCACCACAACACACTAACCGTCTGCAGGTTACGCCTCTGACAGTAACGAAGATAGATGCCTGTTAAAATTCAGACTTGCTCTCTCAGGCCACCACTCAGGCCAGCACTCGTTCTTTACTCAACAGCACTCCCTTCCCTGTTTAAAACCTCCACTAACAAAAATATAGCACCACCTTCGACAAACTTGACTGAGATAATTGAACTTCCCACGGGCTGAAAATTACAGCCCGAAAGCGGCTAAATAGAATTGAGTATATTCAGAACGGCATAAGAGCGGAATTATATGAAATTGCACACCTTCCAGTGGGAATTTTTTCAAATGGCACGCAGTAACAGCTGTCATTTAAGTCGGGAATCAAGCAAATATTTCTTGGCCATGAATTTCAAGCACAATAACATTTCTTAACGTAGAAAGGCGATGGAACAAAAGTCCAAACTATTTTTTAAGATGTTAGTAATACAGTTAAATAAACTGCTTTCAAAATAAAAAATAAAAATTCTTACACAGCAAGGCACGATGCTGACATTTGATCACAATCCCTTTTTTAACGCACACACTGAACTAAAAACGTATTTTATGCATTGGTCTGTATTCCCACGTTGATTTATAAAGTTTTTAAATAATATTATTCACGTTGAGAAACTTTTACAGATTCATAGATGGTCTTTCAAGGTCCCTAAAAATGAAATTACCCAAAAACACAAGACAAGTGGATATTGTGTATCGAGTCCAAGGGGAAAAGCTCCACCACGATTGCAATATAACATGTCTGGCTGTGCAGCAGAATGTTGTAAGAATATTAACCCATTTACAAAACATGCATATTTTTCATCCCAAACTTTTTCCCCAAATTAGTGGCAGTATACATCCGTAAAACGCAAATGTAGTGCGTGCGCGCCCCATTGGCAGGACCCACGTGTGTCGTGTGTGAGACTGCTCTCCTTACACACCGCCGAGCATTTCCCATAATCAACGTAAGCCAGCGACATAGTGCGTCTCATAGAATCCGAGGAGCGCGAGTTGTGACACGCACATCCGAGGGGAGCGTCAGCAGAGGGGTTAAACGTCGCGGGGATGCGTGTTTGTGACGCGTCCATTACAGTGGTTCGATCCTCAGCGTGGACCTCCATGTGGCACGCACGGGGTGGTACTGGCTACAGCTTTAAAAGATTTGATGAACGAATGAATGTACGCGTTTATTCGTTTTCAAACGTGCGGGTACCTTGGAGTACTTCTGGACCTGGTCGCCAATGTAAATCTTGCGGAAGTGCTCGAAGCAACTGAGGATGGCTAGTTCGAGTTTCTCGTTGCCAGCCTGTGCCAGCCGTGAGTCCGTGAGGTTCATGAGCTGCAGCACCCTGTGGAGAGAGAGCAGCGTCGGTGATATGCAAACAGACAGAGCAACCACGGGGGCACATCCTCTCACCAGGGCATGAGGTCAAAATAATTATCAAAAGAGCTCCTGACTTTTAAATGATTTCGCATGCAAATTCGGCATTGCGACGCAGCAGTCATCCTGGCCATGAGTGAAAATAAGAAGCCCTGCTTTTTAACTGCATGTACCTCAAAACATATTGTATAAACAACAAATATTTTAATAAACAAAATAAAAACGTGTGATACAAAAAACTTTGGTTCATTGTAAACATTTTAAGCACTTAGGATGACAATTTACAATAACATCATGAATATAATTGTTTCTTTTTATTTTCATTCTTATTTTATTTCTATTACCGAAAGAACCAATAATAAGTCTACATTATAGACTGCCTGTACGCTCACTCAGGTTAAGAACCAGGCTACATTCTACATTACAGACTGCCAGTACGCTCACCGAGGATAATAACCAGGTTACAGTCTACATTATAGACTACCAGTACAATCACCAATCTTAATAACCAGGCTACAGTCTACATTATAGACTGCCAGTACACTCACTCCGATTAAGAACCAGGCTAGAGTCTACATTTGTGTTTTTTTGTGTTTTTATTATTTTTATTTTATTTTTATTCACTTTTAAAAATTATTTTTCTATCTACGTGATTTTACCGAAAGAACCAAAGAATACTTTAAAAAATATATATTATTTAAAAGGATTATATTTATTCCAGAATTATGGAAATAATAATACAATTATTTAGAGTCCTTAGTCAATCCACTGCTAGATGCAGAGTTTTCTTTTACCATACTTCACCTCTCTAGTCAGTGGCAGTTGGTGAAGAGGGGGGGGGGGGGGTTCCCAGGATCGGCTCATTTACCACTCGCCACCTAATCGAAATTAGCTCACCGATTTTATGGCACAGTGCGCTAACCATCTACCACCAAAACTATGCACTCATATTGCAGGAATTAACTTGGACACACGCAGCACGTAAATGTTGACCTTTGCTATTTTTGCTCTGCACTGTGTGTGGCTCAAATGTACCATGGTATTATTTATGAAACAAACAAGGCATGAAGGAGCCTTCCAGTTTGCCTGCGTACTTCACCGCACGCCCTCTAAGCAGAATGTAGTCTGTTTATTAAAGCAACGCGAGCGAGCAGAAATACAGAGTTTAATTCCCAACAGAGCACTTGCCCACAAATCTAAAAAAGTAAAACGTGACATTAACTTACACTTAAAGTACATTCTCTAGAGTATATCGCTTTTGAAATTTCATCAAGCGAGATACAGTTGGCGTAGAAAACCTTCAGGGCATATATCAAAACATTGAGCTGATAAACATTATTAAGTGATGAGGTGCAATAAAATAGCCAAGATGAGAAAGTGGTGACTGTTACCAGGAAAAACGAAAAATGATCGCTCCTGCAAAAAAAATACACTGCCCAGTGGATGGAGGAGGCTGATATTCTCCTGACAGGGAGAATCAGCAAGGAAAATGAAAGTTCTTTAAAAATCAGCCCATTCCACATCCATAATGGCCTTTCTGTCAACAGAAGCCGCTAAAAGCCTCCAGCATATTTCAGAACCGCCAAACTGCTAAGAGCCGTGATGGACGCACAAATCAGGCAAGAGCTCAGCGGGACGGGAAGGAGGAGTCGATGAAAAGGTGTCGTCAAGCCCGCATATGCCAAAGGGAACCCCGAAAAACAAAACATACAAACAGACCGCGGCGGAACGCAGCAAGACTGTGAATTAATGAAAGGCTCGCTCAAAGCATTTTCATAATACGCAGTAAGTCATTTTAATTTGATAAATACGATTCCGGATTGCATCTAATATAGAATTCAGTTACTAAATTAAATTGTCCTAAAATTGTTTTAAATTGCCGACAGCTTATTTACAGGGAAGGCGATGTATTTTCACTTGTCGCACGCTTTTACCGCGGTTGCGTTTATCGCCGTTCGTTGTTTGTACGCTTCGAGAGGCAATTCCTGTCAAAAAGTCTCTGCTACGCAGAGGTCAAATTACCAAAGTGTCTCTGCCTACTTAGCAAGCGTGTCAAATTTCAATCTCCGTTTGTGCGAAAAGTACCCACTTGAATTTTAACGCTAGAATATAACTTTGGTACCTGTAAAAGTCTGCATGAAACACTGGATGTAGTCCACAACTCCAAAAACGCAGAGCTCGCCTGCACAATACTGCAGCAGCCAACACATATTGGATGCTTTTTTGCGTTGTCAAAAGCATAATCTACACACCGCAAAACTTGAATTCCCATTCTTCATACTTGTCTGCCATCTTGTCATTAGCAAGGATTCATACATTATTCAGGTAACTGTATTTACGTTATTTTTCTGTAGGTTTCACCAATATCTGGATTTTTAATTAAAATTACTAAAACAAGCGTTTGTAATAGAGTAGACAGAGGAAATAAATAAATAACTGACAAAATCGTCACCATATATTGCACAAACGTCATTTTCTTTTAGTAAATGCGAATATTTTATTTTAATAACCTCTATAATGTTCCACCATGTGACGGTGATAATAAAAATCCTAAACCTCTCTCTCAAGTACTAAACACGATGGCCAGTGTTGCCCAATAGTCGCAGAAACAACGTGGCCTACAGCACCCCCTAAAGGATACAACATCATTAAACCATTCGCTCAACCCAAAACAATCACCTGAAAAGCAGCACGACAGGGTGGACAATGGGGTTTGCCTGATACAAACGCATTCAACACTGAATTACCCAGGGTAATTGGGGGAGGATAGTGCTAAACGTTTGCAAATTAAACCATTTCCTTACACAGAAAGGGGATAGAAAGCACCATGCGCCATCTGTTTTTATTTCTTCCTACGGAAATCGGTTTACTTGCCGACATGTCTGCTGTCACATGTGAACCGAATCACTAAACCTCAATGAGGAGCAGCTGATAATTAAACTACCAACGCACATGTAAACATACTTTTTTTCGCAAACACGGTTAATCCCAACTTGGATAATCGAGAGTTTACTGTGCCGAAAGTGAACAGGGATCGCGCATGAACAAAAGTAACAAAAGTGACAAAAGGAAAGCAGTGCGCGATCAGATCAGGTATTAATTAAAATAAAAAAAATTGTTACCAGGTAAGGCCCACTGAACAAAGTGACCTGGCCACATATGATAGCTCAACTAAGTGACTTAACATGTGGAAATTTACAGCAGCCAAACACATGTTTCTAAATGTGGAGGGAAAAAACCGAAGGACCCAGAGAAAATTCTACGCGACCACGGGGAGAACATGCAAACTTCAAATATACAGGCGTCAGCGTTGGGATCGAACCCATAACCGCCTGCATACCAGGCAAGGTAGTTAACATCTCGCCACAGTGGCATCATCGATCCTAGGATGCTTGCGAGTCTGCTCTAACGGCATGTGGTGGCGGCGAGGCGCACAGGCTGTGCACGTACCGACAAATAAGCTCTCCATCCATGGCGTCATGCTCGTCCGTGCTGGCGAAAGATACCCGCCCCCCGATCACCGCTCCAATCATGTATACCAGCCACGTCAGGCGGCCTGTCAACAGGTGTCGAAGAAACAGAAAAATCACCAAATTAAACGCTGAAAATCCATAAAATGGGCGCATTTGTACAAAGATTGATCTGTTAATGTACGCATACATTGATAGGTTGATCTGGCAGAGGCTGTAGCTGTTATAGGATACATTTGGCTTATGTGGCTGCGGCCGTATAGTCCTTTGTCAATATTCTGCTGGAAGAGGGGGTCTCCCTCGTCCAGCAGAATATTACTCGTGGAGAGTAATTTGACAACACTTCACCACACTGGTCATTGCGGGTTGGTGAATGTGGGCAGCATAGATGTCGGAGCATAGCACAGCGCAATTTTGCCGCACTGCCCCCTGATCCCCTCAACGACACCCCACAGCAGCCTAGAAGACCTGTTGAACGCATGATGGTCGCACATCCAAGCACTATCCAGACTCAACCCTGCTTAGCTTCCGGAATCTTATGGAATTGGGTACATTCCAGTGATGTGATCATTGAAAATCTATCAATGTAAGGGTTGAAATTGAGCATGCAATAATTCAACTCCCTCGGAATCATGATTCAATTTAAGAATCAATTTGTTTTTCCTACATGGCATCTCGTTTGGTCTTTCTCAGCCATACCATTAGCATAAGTGTAAAATTTGCCTGATAATATAATGAACATACAACTTGGAATAAGCACCTAATTTGGATGTGGATATTTGTTGTAATTGAGGGGGGTGTTTCTTGGAAAAACGTGATAACCCACACAAGCTCATTGTCCAGTAAGTAGGGCTTTGTTGAGGGCAGGCTGATAAAGTGGATGCAGAAAGGCGACCGTTACGTTAATTGTGCGGCCAATTGTATAGCCATCATTACGTGTTAAGTGTGGCAGGTCTAGATGTGGGGAGCAAAGATGCTGCCACACTTAACACTGTTAGTGTTACGTTAGTGTTAAGTGTGTTGGTGTTAAGTGTGGCAGTGAAACCAAAGTGGGGGTTGCTTTAAAAAGTTGGTTGTCAAGATTTTGCAGGACACAACTCAACTCATGAATTGTTACATACCTAGTTAAAATATCACTTGAAATATAAACGAAGGAAAACAGAGGGACAAGGGCCTTGGTTCTAGGACCTATTTTTTGCCAATTGTTCCATCTACGCTCCAAAGTAACCTTTGATGTGTTTCCACCTCCCCGTAACATACAAAAAGACTTAGCTCAATGCCAGCTTTTAAAATGTTAAACATTAAGATATAAAATTCATGCACCTGCTCATTAAATACACGAACAACCCTAAGTCCAGGATCATATCAATAACTGACCCTCCGAAAAACAAACGTGAAAAGCACACAAACGACACTGTAAAGTGCATTTACTTAGCTTAGACTGTGACCTTTCTGTACTGTGCCTAACAGCCAGACCTTGGTTTAAGTGCAATTTGCACCGAATTGTAATTACAGTGTACTTGTAAAATCCACTAACAAAGTTCCTTTAATTACAATTGACTGCGGCCCTGCTATGAGCAAAACCAATTGCTCAAATAGGCTCATGCCTGAAAAAAACAAAAAACGCCCCGCAAGTACCTTCTTGAACGGCGATTTCCATGGGCTGTCCAGGGGAGGAGCGAAGCGTCTCCTGGTAGGCTTGCGCCGACTGATCGAAGAGCTGCACCAACAGCGCACAGGTCTTCTCGTACTCACAGCGCCCGATCGTGCTCAGCTGCTCCAGCTGCTGCATGATCAGCCCCGTGTCATCCAGCGGGTCCTCCAGCCCATCCCTGGTGCGCGCCCACACACGCACAGCAGCACACATTCACACGTGGACGGATGCAAGAACTATGACTAACATTCCACATTTTCATGGCAAGTAACTTGGACAAGTGCTGTTAATAAACACTTAATACGTGCAGCATTGCACAAAAGGCAAAGTGAGGAAACTATACACACCGGGCCAATTTGTTATCCCAAGTGTTGATGTTGAAGTGGCCAGGTGGCTCAGCGGTCACGGCATTGGGCCAGCACTTCTGAGGTTCTGGGTCTGAACCCCAAAGTTTGGGATTTTGACAAAACTTCAGCTCAGAGAATTGAAAAAAATATTTTTACTCCCATACTATGAAAATTTCTCAATAGCTGGGCATGTGGGTAATTCAGTGTCCCCTCCCCATGTTGTGTAGATAAAAAAGGTCATCTGAAGACATCTCGGAATTAATTATGCGATATCTCTTTCCACAGGTTATTCTCCGAGACACGGAGATGCGAACCACTAGAAAAATCTCACGATATACATGACTCCGATAAAACATTTACAGCAAAATTGACAAAGCTTCCAAAACAAAAACTAACACTGCAAGAACGACGAAGAGCACCTTAGGATGACGTGCACGGACTCGAGGCGTGACGTGATGTATGCCTTGGTGACCTCTGGCGTATACGTCTCCAGCATGTGTGGCTCCGTAGCCTTCACATAGGGCACCGACGCCGCCAGCCGTTGCCACAGGCTCAGCAGGTAGTGCACGCTGTTTGGTGCAAACGCCCAGTGCTACGGGGGTGGGAACCAGCAGGAGGCAAAGTGGATTCGTGCCGGTACAGCACGCATGGCAATGTCATCCTCGCAGCGGCTTCGGCATAACTATCGAAAGATGGTTACCACATAGCGCGCTTTCGGATGCGCTTCTGTGGCCGTCTGGAACGCTCTTCCTACCGATATTAGGAGGCCACTGGAGCTATGCACTTTTAAATCTAGATTTAAAACTAATTTCTTTAGGACTGCTTTTTGTGTTAAGTTTGTTGTCCTTCCCCGATTAGCACAGATGGCTATGCAAGGTGCAAAGGAAGTTCAACATACATGCATACATAGGAGCGGCAAGTCTTTTGCTGAGAGGAAAGCACCCGAACCACAACACCGAGCAATCGCTAAATGTGTAATTTGTCTTGGGAAAAAAATTCAATAAGGGATTTAAACCGGGAAGGCAGTTTGGATCGAATGACAAACACAAAACATTCACAAGAGAGTGATAATGCAGAGCAATCAGTTTTACGAAGTTATGCATATAAATGAGTGTTTTTCAGTTGGGAATAAAATGTCACTATTGTAGAAATTCATACACATTTAAAAGTGACTATAAAAGCAATGTTTTCTTTATAAAATGAAACATCGTACCCTTCATAAACGGAGCATTGCCAGGTTTCATTTAAATATTAACATTTTAAATGGTCCATTTTAAAAACCATTCAAAACAATAAATTGCTCGATAATGCTGATAGAAATTCCACATTCAAATTCATTCCATCACATTAAAGGAACATATTTCATGTGCTAGTTATAGTGATATTTCATATAATTTAAGCAACAAGGTCAAACAACTATTCAAAAAGGAGATGAGGGGGTTTTTACCGTTCTTAAATTAACTTCTTAAAATATATATATCACTGCAAAAGGCCGTGTAAAATCAAGACAATCGTTCAAAATGAAAAAACAACATTCAAAACAATCATAACATTTCAGCTTTACATTTTTTCAGTTTCATCATTTTAAAACTACATATCCAAACCGTACATGACAAAAAAAATTCATCTTATAGCCCCTTAGGTCCCATTAAAGCACGGGAGACAGACTGCATTTTAAACCGAGGTTCAGTTGATCCCCCCCCCCCTTCCTAACGACATATCGATCGCGCAGACACTTCAAGTGTAACTCGGTAACTGGCCGTGCCTTTAAAATCAATAGTGCGAGAGGGACCTCGTGCTGGCAGATTTTTGCATCCGACACCGCCGTATGGACCATGACAGGCACTCAGGCGTCTGCCGAGGGTCCCTAAGCATTAGAGGGCTCGGCACCCGGCTAATGCCGTTAGCGTGACTCCCGGGCGAGGCGCGCTTTCGCAAGCGTGCGCGCCGACGCCTCCTGCAGCAGCGTTCTGGCTGTGGCGGCGGCAAGGGCTGGGGAAAGCCACCAGTGGGACGACGGATATTAGCCGGAGCAATATTGCGATGCCGTTAGTGGAAGCATTTTTAAAATATATGACGGCGCGCATGATCATTATCGTTATTCCTCGCGCCGACGGTGCTTAAGCGATCCGTGAAAACGGAAGGGCGGTTACAATTAGATTGTAGCCGATGCATCATTGCAGATGAAAAAAATGCAATATTGGCATTACAGGCTGTGCTATGGATATGCATCTTTTAATTTAAAAAATATGCAGATAACACTGATAGAAAGATGCAGAGTGCATTATCGGCATTAGAGACACTCGAATATCAATTAGATTGTTTTTATATACAGCAGAACAAAAAGTGAAAAGTATCAGCTCGCGGCTTAGCCAATAAAAGGACCTGCCGCGTGTGTGCGTAATGCACATCACGCGGTCATATTTTCACGTGTAAAATAACTACTCGGCAGCACCCCCAACATTGCAGCAGTGCACTAGCATGTGGCTTGGCGATTGTGAATACAATCTTTACTGCCGTGAGCAAAGGACAAGCCGTAAAATCACGGCATTTTTGTCAGACAGCATGATTCCTTCTTCTGGCGCTCGAAAAGAAATGTTGCCCCCTTCTGCTTCTTTGCTGCAATAGCTCGCCCTTGCAGCCACCCACTACCTACCTAAAGCTTCGTCAAGCATGGGGCTAGATATGTAAATATTCAGCAAATTATGAAATTAGCGTCGCCAATCTTACAAACTGTCTAGTTGAAGTTGAGCAGCATGAGTTTATTGGAGAATTAAGTAGCTATATTAGATAGAGGTGCCAACATCAGTCAGCTACTCAGTGGGAGGTGAGACAAAATGTGCTCCCTTCACCAAGCCGCACTGAGCAACATGGCAAATTATGGTCAAATCCCCTCCCCGCCCGCCACCACTCCACCCATGCCCAACAACATGTAAACCACGACCTCACCAACCATGGTGTCGGATGGCTGGGTGAAGGGGCAGGTGGTGTTTAGAACCACTGGCTAATATATTGCAGGATCGTGAGAGGCAATGGCAGCTTTGGAAGGCCTTCATCTAAAAGTGGATTGATCATGTATATGGAAATATTATAATAATATATCTCTTAAATCACAGATTACTATTAACCCCCATGAATGAAAACATCTGTGCAATCCATCCACCTGGATGTAAAACATGTACATACACGGCATCATTATGTGTTTGCTACGTATGTGTCGAGTGACACCTTGAGGACACCTATCAGGGCAAACGAGTTGTTGCAACTCAAGGGATTTTGCAGGTGAAATAATTTAATTCAAGAAAAATAAATCCCACCGGGCATGGAACATTTGAACCCATGGAGGCACTCGGATGCGGCACCACCACACTTCAGTCAAGGGTTCGTGACGGTGCATGGTACGGTACCTGCAGGCTTGTAACGGTAAAGTTGGCGATCAGGCGGATTACGTCTGGGTAGCTCTCCACTCTCACCAGCTCGCCCAGCTGGTAGTTGCTCTTTAGCCTGGCAAGCAGCCGACAAAACTCGTGGTAGTTGTTTGGATCTGAAAGGCTCTGCGGAATAAATAGTGAAAAAATTTAATAATAATAATAATAAAGTAGGTTGGAAAAATATATAAAATAAACCTATATGCGAACTGAACCTATATGAGAATAAGATAACAGCATTTTCAGGGATGTAACTTAAGTGTACAAATGCATGGAAGGTTGACAAAAATAACTCAAAAGCAATGAGGTCAGTGAGTATATTTCAATTTTGTTCAATTTCACGAGACAAGGGGATCCAATTAGATCTCTCGGAGAACAGTGCAACTTTTTTTGTTAACAAACGGTCCACGTAAGCGAATATCACAGGGCTACCTCCGAGGTCCTTCTCCAGTGACTTCTGTTGCAGACAGTTGGGGACAGCACTTTCCATCCCACCCTTCAACCAGCAGTAAAGTTTGTCCCACAACAGTCAAACCAATATTTTTTAAGTCTCACTGCTGTCAAATGCCAAAATACATTTTCCGTAATGTTTTTTTTTTGGTGCAGTCACCAGAGACCTGACTGCGACCATATACGTGCTCCACTTGAGAATCCGGTTTAATCATAGGATACGGCCTGGATTCAAACCCTGGGCTTCAGCATTGACACCTCAGCTATCGACTTCCGAGCCGCACAGCCACCTCTCACCTGTGGGCTCTCGAGGATTCGCTTGACCCCGTCCACCAGATGTGACAAGAACTTGGCCCTCTCCGTGTTGTTGAATAGCGACCGCCGTACCGATGCCACTTGCACCAGGCAGGACAGCACCTGTGCGAACAGGAGACCAAAGCAGAGCAGACATTTAGAAAACAGCCGCCTCAATGCGCAGCAAGGTTGGCTATGTACGGCACGAAAGAAGTTCAACATACATACATACCATGTCTACATTAAGAGAGTCTGTCTATCCATAGAAGAAATTCTCAGGGCAGGTTAAATAAACAGGTATAATGCTCACAAGTTGTGATAGATCATGCTGGTTGATTTACAGCTGCTAGTCACTCTCCGACACACGTGCGCACACACACACCTGAGAAGCATAGATTGACCATTCAAACATTGGCAATGCAAAAATCCATCCACAGGGTGCTTACCAGTGGTGACAGTGTGGGAGGCAGGGAGCAGTACAGATCGAAGAAGAGCTGGAGAGTGGCCACATCCAGGAAGGCTGATGGTGAAACACACATGTCGTCAGCAGAGACGCACTACAATCCTTCCTACAGCATACACTTTAATCCGTACCACAAATCGACAAAGATAATTATTGCACTGCCCGATTCTTTCTGAATCCCAACACAAAGAATTATACTCACTTTGTAACCCAAGGTCTTATATAACTGAAAGAAAAAATATTAATATGACCCGTCTGGGGTGTAAACCTGATTACTACACTTGAATAAGATACGTGTTACCCCCATTTCAAAGTAGATCCTGTGGAACTGAAACAACACTCTTGCTCAGTCAGACTCAACTGTAATTTAAACAAGTTTCCCACTGATATATAATTGAAGTGGCTTGCTCTATTCGAGTAAACGGTTCTTGGGAATCTTTTATATTAAAGACAAATTTAAAATTGTAATTATTGGCTTCAGCAGTAGATGAACAGCTTTGGGGCTATCCTTTCCTATTTCATCCACCATATAAAATGTCATTAAGAGATAATCTTTCATATTCAGCATGTCAATGCTGCATTGCCTATGACCAAATCACCCGCAATGCAGCAAATGACGTTAGATATCATAAAATAAGCAGATTGGGTCCTGAATAGTTCTTAAACGGGTGACCATCATCCCCAACAGGCTGTGGGGGGCTATGTGGTGGGCAGATGGCAGTGCAGAAAATTCCATTGTTTTACTGTATTCTCATGCTTCCCGCCTTCACCCACATGCACTGATCATCATAAAGTATGGTCGAATAACCCCCATGATCCGCACGGCATTAGAACGATTTAATATTAGGCCCATTATATTCTAGAACAGCCGCGGTCTCTGCACGATTCGTTTGAAGCCTGGGGTGCGCAGTCGACGTGCGCTCATGTGTCGGCTCACGGCACCTGATCTCCAGCTGGTGGGGATCTGCACTGTGCACAGGTCTTCGAAGGACTCGTCACTGGAGGCTCCGATAAAGTCAAAGTTGAGGCAGTTGTAGGTGAGTTTAAGGAGATGGAGTAGCAGCCCATGCTGCCGCTCGTCGCTCAGATCTAGGTTCTTGCCCGATGCCTGTGGAGCACAAAGACAAAGATCCCCCGTATAGCCATTAAAACGACTGTTGGGGCAAGTGCTGTTAAGTGAGCACCAATGAAGCTGCCCGATAGATCACAACAGCCGCCATTCGCCAATAAGTGATGGTGATGTCACTACGGCACTTGTGCCAGGCCAGGTGCACTTTGCTAAAACTTTACACGGGGGTTAAATCTGTATCTACAGTGTAAGCCATATAAAACAGCGGCAGCATAAATTAGCCTTCATATTAATCAAATCTAAAGATATTGCCAGTTTTATGTAAGCAGCAAATGTGTTTTGTTAAAATGTTAATCTGCTCTCTGCAAGGCTGACGTAACGTGTTTACATTGTAAGTAAACTTGCTGCTGCTGCTATTTGCACAGCAACTTTTGTTTGCTCAACACTACAACAATCATCGAAAGTACTTTTGCTTGAGTGTGCTGCTCACGTGAAATAAAATCGAAGTCAATGAGCCACTAACTTCCACTTAAAGCCATTCTCATTTATCTATTTTTTACGGAGACGTTAACCACCACCGTTAAAGTTACAAAAAGCACTTTCACACAGCGATTTATTAATGTCGGCCAGAATTAAAACTGGGCAGTGTCGAGAACTGTGGCAGGGAAGTGCTTAACAGCAGTTAAAATTTTGATGAAGAGATCATTTTAAGTGTTAATATGTTACATTTATGAGTTTTATTCTTTCAAATCCATTCTGTCAGTAGAATAGTGTTCACCAATTCTGAAACATTTAAAAGTTTGGTTATTGCATTAAGGCTTCATCTGTACTGACTGGCTTTGTGAAGTATGGTCAAATAACCACCATGACCAACACCGCATGGGTGGAGGGGGGGAGACTTCATCCAGCAGTGGATTAACAAAGGGCACTAATTTATGGCAATATGCAAAATAGGAAATACAATTTTTTTCTTAATTACACTTTTTCATTCCATTTTTGCCAATTGTCAATATTATTAAAGGTTACACACATTTACTACTCACAACTGGCACCGTGGAAACAATGGCATTAATAACTACTCATCATCGTCCTCAGCCATTATCTATGGCTGGATGAAGGCTTCCCCATGTTCTTGCCATGCCTCGTGGCCGTGTGATGCCACAATCCATGTTGCTTCTTGAAAACTAGCCTTTTGCCTGTCCAAGGACGGGTGTATTGCAGTAAATTTGAAACTTGCAAGCGAAAAGCAGACCGCGGCGTGATATTCATTGCATCAATTCGTGTGCAATTTGTAAGGGCGCGGTGACACGGACCTATTTCATTTTAAAGGTTATAATCCCTTGTTCATCATGACGTCCTTTTTACTTCTATGTCTCAACAGCGTTACGGAGATCGCGTGACGTGAGGGTTCTGCTTTTGTAGTGAGGGTTGTAAGCTGACGCCGAGGAGGGGGGAGGGGCAGTGACGTCACCTGCTCATGATTATTAATGAGGCGCTGGTCACCGTGGAGTGACGTCACGAGCGTTACACACTGACATTCTTGGCTCATAGTAGGTACGATAATAATGGGGGGGATGTCCATTTGGATGACGTCACCTGCTCATGAATATTAATGTAGAGGGCTGGTCGATGTGGAGTGACGTCACGAGCGTTAAGGGTGATTATAGTAGGTATGAGCTGATCTCATTACTCCAGCTCGACGGTGTTCATCTGCTCAGGCATTTCCCCCCTTCTTTGCCGTTCTGGCACCAGTCTTACATATTAACCACGTGCCCTGCCCAAAGCCACTTCTCTCAATTCAATACAATGTCTAATTTGCATGAGTTCTCTGATTATATTAGCACTGCCCGTGCATTTGCACGCGATCCACGGTTCGAATAGATGGTGGGGGGCGGGGGGTGGGGCTTAATGTTGTGGTATGCTGTGGTGTCATCATGCAGATGTGCACGGTGACGTCACCACCAAAGACAAAGATCTCGCGTATAGCTTTATCAGACTGTTGGTATAAGTGCTGTTAGCGAGCATATATGAAGGCCAGAACGGCACACGAGGGGGTGGGTGGCCAGCTTCACGCCCGGCCACCTTTGAGTCTCTAGTGGCGATGTTCACACACCACACCAGGTACTCATTTGAAGCTGAGTCGACTTAGGGGAGGCCCAGGACCGGTTCAGATAATCGTCTCTGGTGTTGGCCGTGAGCGGGAATCGCCAGGTTCGTAGCGCAGCATGCTCACCGCTACACCACCGCTTCCCACGATGTCACCACAATGCATTTGCCCACCCTTGTGCTCGCCAGCCAGCAAAACTTTATATAATAGTGTGATACACGTGTTTATTTTTGTTTCTAGTTCCCAGCATGCATCTATCTGCGTCTTTGTGGACTGTTTAGCTTTTGTTTGGATATGCATTCTAGAGTATAGTTCGGAGTAAAGTCAGCATTTTCAGTGATTTGTGATTTTTTTTTCATAATTACCAAAAATTATTAAGACCAGAACCAGAATAATAATGGTGCTGTGTATACCTGTTTTCATCAATGCACACCAAATAAAAACATATAGCAGGTATTATGCTACATGTTTTAATAAACCTGTAGTGTAATCAAGGTCCGTTTAAACATCTGCTATTGCACACAGTATAAAAGAAGAGCAATTCGAATGTTTGTATGTTTTAGAACCTAATTGATTTTTACTGTTTGCAGTTCAAATTTAAATACAATAAACCTGCCAGATTACTGCACGTTATTGTTCTCGGCAAGTATGTAATTTTCTGTCACTCAAGTTCATGTTCTGTTATGAACACTTATCAAGCTATGGATGACAATCAAATTGCTTGTTTGGATATGCATTCTGTATATGTAGATATGTGAGTAACACAAGCAGTAAAACACTTTAATTAGAAATGTTAACTATAAAAGTAACATTATATTTTGAGCAAATATTATTTAATGCCTTATTAAAGACTTTCACAGCAAGGTTAAAAGAGATTACGCATAAGTTATGTTCGTCTGTAATGGAGGGTGGGGGTGAGTGGCTGCGGTTTGGACTCTCATAAAGATGATCCAATATTAATGAAACATTATTATAAAGTTGCCCTGTAATTAGGAACTATCCCAACTGAAATATAGCCAAATTGATTAAGAATCGCAATATATTAAAACATGCAAATACATACTGCCCTAACAGCAACCTGTCAGCTTCCTTCAATGTTAAATCAAATCCTTCCCAAGACAAAATAATGTTGGCATTCATTACATAATTCAGGCAGAGCCATGTTTCCTAACTTGTTTAAACATTCATTAGGTGTATTTTGCTACTAATTTTACCAGCAGCAGCAGCAACTGCAGCAGCAGCAGAAACTGCAGCAGCAGCAACTGCAGCAGCAGCAGTAACTGCAGCTCCCTTTGATGCTGTTAATCCTGCATAATGCACATGCATATGCAGTACTAATCACATTCCTGCATTTCCCATAAATATGCTAAATTCCTTTTGATATGCAAATTCCTTTGTCAATGCGCCCAGCTTATATATATGCTCCAAGCTCGTGTGCTGTTTCATTCAGACTCTGTCGCCTCGACGGACCTGGTTTTCACCTGAGGACGGCTGCTTGCGTTGTGGCCGAAACGTCGTGAGAATTGTTTTATTATGTTTTATTTTTATTATTTTATTACTTCCCTTCTACGTGACTTTACCGAAAGAACCAAGAAGAGGGCAGCAGAGTTGGGCTCAAGGTAAATATGAGAAAAACGAATAAGTTATGTTCATCAAGTTCACGAAATGATGGAATACATCGGTTTCAGGGAGAATGGAAAACACATCGCGGTACATATACCTAGAAACACGGCAAAATTGAGTCTTCCGCCGTTGCCGATCATTGCTACAACGCGGTGGGCTCTCATGATATTGTTTTCTCCGAGACTAAGGTGCTCTGCAAACCCTCTGGCTACCATCAAAGGTTTGTACACGAAGCCATTCAGATATACAAACAGACATAATTTCAACCGTGATGATGGGTACAAACTTAGTAATCATTGGAAAGATGTTATCAACCATGCAAAAAAGATTTAACTACACATTTTTGGACCATCTTATCTGACAGGCACTATTTTACTCTGCCGAGTGTTAACATCCCCAGCGTTTAACAGTACTCTCCTTTTTCGTATTTAATTAATTTACCCACCCAGCAGCATAACAAAAGGCGGCTTAATCGTATTTAATTATTTTACCCACCCAGCAGCATAACAAAAGGCGGCTTAATCCTAGCTGGCTTATCTACATATGCCATCTATATTACAAAGGCTCAGTTCCAGCAGCAGTACTGACCATCTCACAACTCCTCCTCTCCCGCGGCCCTTCCTGGTTCCTCCCCCCTTAACCAGTATATAAGGTCGTACCTCTTGGGACTTCTCTCCACTTGATACAGATTTTTTGCTGTGACAGTTTCACCTGAAGACGGAAGCTTGTGATGCCTCCGAAACGTCGTGATTTTATTGTTGTTATTTTTTATTAATTTTAATTTCATTTTTTACCTACGTGACTTTACCGAAAGAACTAAGAGTAAGTATACCTAGGGTAGTTATTGAAGGAGAACCAGGACTAACATGATGAAACAAAGGAAGTAGACAAGTGTAGGTTGGAGTGCATTTGAAAAAACTCAAAACATAAAGCAACACACCAATGTGAGGAAAGAAAAAATATATCAATAATTGCATTTCACCTGCCACGGAACTAGAGACATTGACAAAAACTCAAACATGAGCAAAGAAGCGTGGAGAAATGCATGCTTTAAATTACAAGTGAGAGACAGAAAGAGGAGCATGCAGATCAGAGATAAAATGCACATTAGACATCTTGATAATTGTAAAGAAAAGTATGTGGGTCCGAGCAGGACATGTCACGAGAAGGAATGGTGCCCGACAGTCAATGCTGATGGAGGGAAAGTAAAAGCAGATGGAGCAATTAAATACATGTGTGCAAAAGATGCTCGGTGGATAATTGCATCGGTAGCACGGGAAGGCCTTCATCCCCCAGTGGAAAGGTCGTGGCTGATGATTAACCAAATGTTGACTACCATAGCTTGAACAACTTTCCTATTAAACAAATAAAAGTGAAAGGGGTATCACCAACATGTAAACACCAGTCACTCACCTCTCTGAGCAGTGTGCAGGAGAGGGTGAAAATTTCATACAACGAAACGTCTCGAAACGAAGATGCAATTTTACGATGTTTCGTTATTGGTCGCGTTGTGTCCGCCTACAGAAAGAAAAACAATTAGGCTGAACAAATTTCCAATCACTCAATTTATGAAATATTCTATTGCAAATAAAACCGTTAACCAAGAGCATCATTACGTACTTGATTCATCTCGCTGACCAGTTCCGAAAGGATCATCGCTCCAATCATGCAGTGTTCTACACTGCCCTGTAACCAAGAAAAACATTTCTTTAAAACATTTTGATACATGCTGGTTCACGCACCACACACTCAAAAACGAAGCAGTTTGTAAATGCAGAACAACACACTGGGCATGCAACGAAAGTAAGGCGTTGTCTGCAGGAGGGCATCCCGGCTGCCCCATAAATTCCGCTCGGTCACCTGCAGGAATTTGGTGACGTCGGTGATGACGTTTCGCACAACGAACTCGTCCTTGTCGCAGTCGAACCAGCCCAGCTTAGTAATACGCGCGTACAGCTGGATGAGCGCCTGCGTCACGAAGGAGACAAGCTTGGGCCGCGACGCCAGGTACGACAGCACGTAGTTTCCTGCCACGCACAGCCAATGGGAGAGAGACGTCAGCGCCTTGAGACGATGCAATGGGCACGCGCAGTATTGTACACGTGTGTGTACAAAAAGTGTACATGTACGGCTTCATTGTCAGGGCCTCCCAACAGCCATGCACATCGTGAGGGTTATTTTACCATATTTCACCACACCCATATACAGGCTGCTGAAGGCTTGGAACATACTTTCATACAACAATGGAATTTGCTGCATTGCCCTCCACTGAAAAAGTAGCCCAGCAGCAGCCTACAACACCTGTTTTTTGTGCATGACTGTCACCCATCCAAGCTCTATGCAGGCTCGAACCTGCTTAGCTTCTCAGCTTAAAGAATAAATGGCATGTATTTGTTCAAGGAGAATTGGAAACCCAATATATTAGGAGCATGAAATCAAAATGTTAAAACAAATGTAAAGTCAGTAACATTTTAAGCAAATTCAAGATGTTATACAATTGGGTTATGCTACATACCACAATGTTAACTTTCAGGTTGACTTCAACTTACATCTATGAATAATAAATATTACAAAAGAACAACACTGACTTAAATCCACTGTGTTAATTTTTAACGTGAACTTAGCTTTTGGGGAAAGTCCAACATACTATGTAAGGTGTGAAAGTACAACATGCAAACATTCTCTGCACAGGTTTTAAGCAACATAACTCGCAGTTAGAACTTCTACGTCTACTTACGAATGTCGACTCTCTGTTCCAGGGGAAGGGGATTGTTTGTTCGCGAGATCAACTTGGAGAGACATGTAGCTGCGAGTAACTGGGCATATGAAGACTGGAGGAAAAAACACAAACACAAAAGCAAATCATTTAAACAGATAGAACAAAAAAAGGAATCAATACTTAGACACTTCATTTATTATCAAAAAATTTGCAACTCACGACCTCCGCTCTACACCAAGGCCCAGGTCCGTCACTGCTGGGTGTCATTCCTCTGTAGCAGCCCCCACCATCTGGAACGCCACCCCCACTGCACATTCACAGCAGCGTTTAATCTACACCGGCTTTTAAGAGACACTTAAAGGCCCAAGCGACATTGAGTTTGTCTCAAGAGTCAAGGACGCTTGTGTCTATCAAATATTGTGCATTTTATAAACTGCATTAACACATTCCTGCGGAGGGAGCTGGTAGGAACGTTGGGTTGCTCGGTCAATGGCCAGGGTCAACGGCGGCGTTGTGTATTCCGCAAATATGCCCGACTGTGAGGGCGGGCACAAGCCGGCGTGAGTAGGTTAAACGTTGAGTTTTATAAGGGCACCACGGGGTGACCAGCCCCTCCCCACCTGCCCCACCCCTTCCACCCAGCCCCTCCCCACCCTCCCCACCCAGCCCCTCTCCACTCAGCCCCACCCCTCCCATTTTTGGATGCACGACGGACGGACACAATAATCCCCTGTGGTCTGGTGTAACCAGGAGGTTCCTACCAGTATTATTACCAAGTCGGGAAGTTAGCATATCATATTGCACAACTCAAGAAGAAATTACCATGTTCGACTCAAGAGCTTTCTGGTGTTTTAAAATTTCCTGCTATTAAAATGTGCATGCGTGCATACATAACATATTCAACTTTGCGGTTAAAAAGGCCAAAGGCAAAAGCTATAGAATGTCAAACACGTAACGGGTAAATATTAAATTCACCACAGGAACCAAGGGCCCAAAAGGGCTGTAACATGAACAAACATGATTAAGAGTAAATAAAACATTTATTGATCGCATCAAGGGTGGATTATTTCAGAACCACTGCTCCTGTTGAAATTCATCGAACTAACATTGAACTAAGGGGCACCTTAGCCTTGCAGATAAGACAGCGTGCAGAAATTAACTCATGTGAATGCGCTATATTTTAACTAGAGAAACGTGAGAGGAAGTGGCATTTTTAGAGGTTTACCCCAAACGACTGCATTCTAAAACATTTAACTACTTCATTGATGCATTTAGATTGATATATGGACACATTTCAACACAAAATAAGGCTTTCCAAATATCTTTGACAAACAGAAGTCTTTTCTAAATGTTTCACAATTTTTAAAGCAGCCACACAAGCAGTGCTGGGGGATGAAAGTACTGCATCTTGCAAAAATGCGACCAGATTGAGCAACCAGCGCCTTCAATGTCGCAGCATCAGTGCGTTACTCCAGGCCAGTGATGTCAGTACTCGGTGACACAACAGTTGGAACTGCACACATCTGCTCAGAGATCTCGCAGTTTGTGTGGGGATACATACAAATTCAGCTCTTGTTTTCAGTGTTATAAACCACATCTCATTTGCAGTGTGCTCGTTGCGGTAATTTTCAGCATATTCTTGCAGAGTGGGTAAGGGACCCTCGTGAAAAGTGGGCTTAAAGCAACAAGACAACTAAGTAATTAGACATTCACACCCCTTGTAAATCCACTGCTGGATGAAGGGCTCCCTCCCTACACAACCGACTTCCAAATAGGGAGGGGATTATGCCTGACCAAGGGAGTTTTTTTAATACTTGACCATGCTGGTCAGCATGAGTTGGTGAAGGGGGGGTGGCGGCCCCAGTACTGGTTTAAATATCACTCGCCACTGATGTTAGCCGTGATCCTCACGGTTAGCAAAACGTAACTTTTTGGCTAAACACGTCATTAAATAGCAAGTGTATCATGCAGTGCCTCTTCATAAGCATTAAGGAACCATAAAGTAGGTGGAACAGAGACACATCACAGAGACGTCACTTGTAGGGACTTCGTGAGTAAGCAAAAAAAGAGTAACATACACTCCCTCTCTCCAGCAGCAGCTGGCACTGGCTGAGGCATTCAGGGCTGTTGGTGAGGTCCACCAAGGCTTTCTCGGCCTGCACACGCTGGGATGTGTCCGTAGTCTCGTATAGCTGCTTGCACAGCAGCTCCAGCTGTGCTAGGCTCTGTCGAGAAGACGGTATACAAGGGAGGAAAGCACCATGTCAATTACGAATTCTAATAATCACAGATCACAAAAATGCTTGCTTCTCTAAAACTGAACATTTACTGTAAAGGCTTAAGCTTAGCGTAATAAAGAGTTTTGAAATGTGTTTATTTTGCAAACAAAATGAACTATGCATTCGCGGTTTATGATTTTACAGTTACAATGCTATGTAGACCTTTCAGCCAAGCACAGGACATTTGCCAGTAACTTTGGCCATGATGGCCTCTTGACCAGGACCAGAGTAATGTACTAATCACAAACAAAGCTCTGAAAGCATCACAGCATCGGCACATATGACGTATGTTTTTCACATATTGCTGTTTATTTTTTTTATGAAACTTCCAGATTCTGCATTGAAACAATGGCACTTGGCACCTCCTTCAGATGAGAAGAACACAAGTTTATAAAGGACAGCACATCCATGACGAGAACGTGACTTTATAGAACATCTTCATTCATTGCTTATACTAAATTACCCTGTTAATTCTGAACACTTTTTACAGAATGTTATAAGGTGATTATTCCTACGTCCAGGGAATACAATACCGCTAAGGAAAACTTGCCGCAGCTTACCAGTATCCAATACTCAATCAATTGGGCAATGATTGCCATATGCTTTCGGGAAAAAAATAACACTATACATGGTTGTTAGTGCTTGCTTGTTACAATGCGAGTGAATGTGTGTAGGCACATGCACCTAACATGTGACCGTTGATACTGCATTTGCATATTTCTGCACACATTTCTTAGTACAGTTAAATTGTTTAACAAAATGGCCAATCCCTTATTTTATATTAGCATTCGTGCTTGTTTATTTGTTACATTTCATCCACTATATTACACAGCGCATGCATATTAGGTGCATAACATTTCGGCATGGGATATTGTTCATTATGTCTACAGCACTTCTTATGAGTAACCTTGTCCACAAGTGGCACATCATAACAGGCAATTTAACCACAATTTCCCCTGACAAACAATTTTCATTAAGCTGTATGGGACTAATGAGAAATGCATTAGTGTCTCGATTTTACCTGCAAGCCTCAAAACTATAAAAAAAAAACTGACCAATAATGATTAAATTTATCTTTCTCTGACAAGGAAGGATAAATCTGAAGCTGGGATGGTTGGTTATTCAATCATCCTTCTAATGTGAGTGAATTTACAAAGGAGACCATCAAAATCAAAGCTAACATGGTATAAAACATACGTGTTAACACGTAGGTGTGAATGTAAGTGTTTAGTGCAATAATAAGCTGTAACTTTACAAAATTCTAAACAAGCCTGATTATAAATGTAACAAAATTCAGACAGTTCAGATTCGTGGATATCTGTTTCACAGTAACTTTAATGTGAAATGTGCACCATTTAGAAAACACTTTAAAACATAAATAAGGTACAAACATTAAGCTGTATATAAAGGCATAAGATATTCAATACTTGCCACAATACTCGTTGAACATAAATGCATTAACTTTCTTAGAAGCAAAGCACCACTTGTTGAACGTTTATACTCTATATGCATTAGTAAACATGTCAACTCAGGTGAAAACACCCTCACGGATTTATCTGCATTGTGGCAATATATAAAAAAGCATACAAATACCCACAGGTATACAGTATCGTGTCTTTGACCAAAAATATCGGCGCTAAGCAGAGATGAGCCTGGATAGTGCTTAGATGGGTAACAGCCAAGCAAAACAGGTTGTTATAGGTTGCGGGGTAACATGATGTGTAAGAGGAGAGTGAAGCGAGGGACTACCATGCCTCATGTCTATGCTCCCAACCTTCACAAACCTCAACTGACCGAAACATTTGAAGTACGTTCAAATAACCCTACGACCTATATTGTGTGTGCCGGCCCTCATCCAGTACAGGACTGGAATAGGACTGTACATAGCGTACGTTTTCAAACAGGATTAAACATAATTTGCATGATAACCTTTGAACAATAAAAAAAAACGCCTCTAGAAACTATCGATGATAACCTTGTGCTTTCTAGAAATATAGGACCCGGAAGAAAACGACTTTACCGGATGCGCCATTGCAGCCAAAAGCACATGTAACGACGGAGCTGGGATTCCAATGACGGCCGGTCGTCGCTGACCTGACCGAGACTTCTCGACTCGTTGTATCGTAAACACTTTCGTGAGAACTGCTTACTGCCCCCGCTACGGCATGGATCAATGGTGCTGACGGTGGTTAACGTTGGAGGCCCTGGTTGCACAGCAGCCCCGCTGTCTGCTCAAGTTGTATCTGCCTCATGTTGTACAATTGCAAAACAACCTCTTCACCCACAACCTCCCCCCCCCCCTTATTCTCGAGTCGAATTGATATGAATCTGCAGATGCTGCTACTGACCGGGGTCTCACTGACATCCACGCAGGCAGTCGCGTACAAAACCAAAGGCCATAGTTTAACCTTGCAACGGCTAAGGTACAGATACCCGCAGAAGCGCACACATGAATGCTATACACACGAGCGTTCACATGCGCACGGGCACAACCATGGATATAAGCCAATAATGCACAAGCGCAAACAGACCTTCCATTACAATAATAGGCACATACAAGGACACACGGATAGATATATACACACGCCCGCATGAAAACGCATGCAGGCACATGCATACGAACACACACAAATGCACAAACTTGCAGCAACTGCAGTGAGGCGTGGAAGGGAGGCCCCACATCAGAGCTCATCGTGCACAGTTGTGCTCGAGTACCTGAGATTGGTTTTCTGTTGATCGAAGTTTAATAACTAGAAACCGACAATGCTATGCGGTTATTCTTGTTTTAGATCAATACTGTACAGTGTGGTGGTGGTGGCGGCACAGTACAGACACACGTGGATAGACTCAACCTCGCGGTTATCTTCCATCAGCTCCGGTCCACTGCTAACAACCACTGATCGCCGACCATTGCAAAGTTCAACGTAACAGCGTTAACTGTGACCGACTAAACGCTCGCAAAAACAACGACAACGAGCAACTAGTCATCGTCACCACAGCCAGTGTTGACATATACTGTACAGACCCCCCCAACCCACATTCACCGAAGGCTCCAGACACCGCCAATTACAACAGCGGCAATTGCACGCCGAGGCGCAATTGCAGCGGCGACTAGCACGACGAGAAGAATAAAGTCTGCTCACACACAATCGACCACCCTTATGACCATTGCACCCCCACTCCATCATCTTAGTAACAGCAACACATGGGGGGGGGGGAGGATAACCGCGGCCGGCGTCCGAGCCGCGCCGCCGAGGGCGGGCTCGCCGACTGCCGAGGCAAACGTACGAGGAGCGAAGGCGTCGCTCGCTCGGTTAATCGAGGCGGAGCGAGCGAGCGGGCGGGGGAAAGGATCTCGCCCAAGCCTCGCCGAACCCCACGGCGGCGGCGACGGCCGCGGCCCCCATTACCTGCTCGGGGTCGGCCATCTTTCCTCGCTCATGCCTGCGCGGGGACAAGCAATGCGCATGCGCGTGACGCCGCGTGTCACGTGGTGTTGGGTGACGTCTGGAGCTGCGGGTGGTTGGTTGGTTGGTGACGGTGGGGTGGGGGGTGTGTGGGGGGACTCGCGACGGACGCGATCGGCGTGGTGGGAGGGGGGGGGGTCCCAGTCCCTGCAAGCGGATTGGTGCAGAGCGCTGCGACGTTGAAGTCGCGCGCGTTGGCATTGGGGATGGTTGGGGGACCTCGAGGGGGTATCGTGAGCAACGCAAAGTTGTGTGCCGTTATCGTTTGTTGAAGTTGTCAATATTTTTCGGGGAAGTTGTGTGCACGGTGTATTGTGATATCAGCAGAAGGCACAAGACGCATTCGTCAATAACACTGCATTAAAGGGAAATATAAATTTCAAATAGACGACGTTTCGGGGAAAGGAAAATATTTAACATCTGACAATTAATTTTAGCCGCCGTTTCGGTCAATGGCCTTTCTGCAGAGCTGTGTGCTATTAAACGTCGCCGATTATGTTTTTATTTTGCAGTTTAAGGCAGCGTGATTGACGCATGTTTTGACTTGTTTGTTGTTTGTGCACCACTTGCCATAGCGGTATTACCGAATAGTTACACTCTTACACGTTGCGTCAAGAGGGCTTGGCTCGAGATTTCAGCATGGCTCTAGAATACTCATCAACCATGGGTTTATCCACTGCTGGATGAAGGCCGCCACCTCTCACGATACAGCGATGTCAATGATCCACCTCGTGCCTGCACACCAGCTGATTCTGTCGCTCCATCTCGATGTGTAGGCTCTCCCGGACGCACCATTGGAGAACCTCCTTTGCCAGTAGCAAAATATGATAATTGTTTTTTTACCCTTTTATCTGGCAACAAAACTGACACCTTTTTTTTACAAGGAGTCATGTTTGCATTGACCACAATACCTGCGGTCGGAATGCAAACAAAAAACACAACTCTGATAATGTCTGCACTGTCCTTGATGTTTTACTTACGTGACTTAACCGAAAAAACCTAAGAATATGAATCTTTGCAGTCACGAAAGCTTCAAATCTAGAATTACTGTCCTTGAAGTTGATTGGTCCACACCCGAGACAGCTTTTCTTAGAGCCAAGTCTCACATGGTGTTGGACCAGATGACGCCAAAAGGCGCCTTCCATTCCTTGACTTTCCAGCCACCTCTTGCCATTGGAGAGAGGAATAATGAGAACGAATATCAAATATAATTTCTCCCTTGCCAGTAATCGACTAGGAAAATCAATTTCTAGCCACTGGAAGTGAATGCACTCATAACAAGCTCTTGACTCGAGGTCTAAATACAAACGCTATTTAGAAACAGCAATAAGAATACCATTTGCCAAAACAGTTGAAATACGCGTGTTTAAGTGTAAGGGGAGTCGGTAAGGATACGGCTTTGGCCAAATGTATTAATCGTAACTTGAGAATATGTTGTATGTATATTTTTTTTAAAGATGACATTGAAATCGACCGTGTCGTTTTTAATTTGCCTTAATAACTATATTTTATTTTGTGCGTCTTCTTTCATAAGTCCCTGTAGGATGCAGTAAATGAGGTGACATTAAAAAAAAAAACATCAAATAAACAACGAATGTCCTCTTTATTGTCCTTGCAAAGCAATAGACATGGGGTGAAACTAAAGTGTCGTGATTGCTGTTATAGTCAGAGCGTGGAGTGTGTGTGTTAGGGTGTCACGTTTAAACTCAGGTCTCCCTTTGTAAAGAGACATTTGACCTCCACCTTGGCTCTCGTCTAGTTATAAATAAAGTGTATGAATGACAATCACGCGTTGCGTGTGTCAAGGCGCCACGAACCTGGCGACCCAAGTTCAATTCCTACTCGTGATCAATAACAGCGAATTTTTGAACGGGTCCTGGACCTCCCCTTGGTCGACTCAGCCTGAAATGGGTACCTGGTGCTGTGCGTAAACATCTCCACTAGGGAGACAACAAAAAAAAACAACGCTTCACAAATTTTTCGTGTCATCCTTTGCGCAGAGGCCATGCTTAATCTTCTCTGCATCATTCCAATTTTAGTAAAAATTTTAGTACATGTGTAGTGGCATAGCGCTGACTGCTGGCGGAAAAGGGTAACTGCGGTGTATTACTTTTTGTTTTTTTTCGGTATTGTCACGTAGGTAAAAAAAATTAATAAATTAAAATAAAAACAACTCAATTAAATCACGACGTCAGCAGGCCACGATAGACACGAGAGGGTGACATCTCGGGGGAAAGGTCACAGAGGGCAGCCCATCGGAAAGCCTCGGGAACCCGCTAGTAGGTTCCAGAGAGGGCTTTTGGCCACGCTGAGAGTGTAAGAGGGCCCCCCCCCCCCCCCCCCCCCGCTGTTGTTGGGGTGAGATCCACGTCGCGCTACTCAAGATCGTCGCCATCGTCGCTGTCGTCTTCACTCGACATTGCGCTGATAGATAGTTGTTGGCTGCCTCGGTTCAGCGCCGTCAGTGTTAGATGGTTAGTGTTGTGTATAGGTTATCAACAGTAACTGTGTGTACCCACGTGGTGTTGTGTATAGGTTAGCAACAGTAACTGTGTGTACCCACGTGGTATGTGTATTATACTGGTAGGAACCTCCTGGTTACACCAGCCCACAGGGGATTATTGTGTCCGTCCGTCCGTCGTACAGGGAGGGTCTGGGTAGGGAGGGGCTGGGTGGGGAGGGAAGGGTGGGGAGGGGAGGGTGGAGAAGGGCTAGGTGGGGAGGGGCTGGGTGGGGGTGGGGCTGGGTGGGGAGGGGCTGGGTGGGGAGGGTGGTGAGGGGCTGGGTGGGGCTGGGTGGGGAGGGTGGGGCTGGGTGGGGAGGGGCTGGTCACCCCGTGGTGCCCTTATTAAGCTCAACGTTTAACCTACTCACGCCGGCTTGTGCCCGCCCTCACAGTCGGGCATATTTGCGAAATACACCACGCCGCCGTTGACCCTGGCCATTGACCGAGCAACCCAACGTTCCTACCAGCTCCCTCCGCAGGAATGTGTTTCCGATGGTGTTCGTTAAATAAAAGAAGTTCCTCCTATTGCTGTCTCCGAGTTAAGTCACGAGGGAGAGTGTCATAGGTGCTCGCACACAGCATTTGCCCCAACAGTCTATTAAGGCTATTGGGGTAGACCTTTGCTTTTGGAGCAGTTTTATCATTCGGTTAACATGCCTCAATGTTCGCTGTCACCAAAGATTTGCGTGTTTACTTACTGTAGTAGTCAATATAAACTTGTAAGCGTTTCCCCATCGCATACCAGAACGGGCGTTGCGTTAACAGCTTCCCCACCCCCCATTGTATGTTACTGTTCAGAGATAAATTAACCGCATTCAGTAAATATTATGGCGAAATAATTACTCTCAGAAGAAAACACATTTCAAAGTTCGAGTAATTTTTATTGAGCCGTGTTAGTATTTTTGTATTCGTTACACCCACTCATTCGGAATCGCCACCTATTAAAATGTGTCTTCCGAACTTCTTATGCTCTTTCAATGTTTATTTGTTACACGCAAAAGCCTGTTTACCCAGTTACCCAGCCATTAACAGAGTTATTGTCGGGGTCGTGAGGAGCCCAGCCAGCAAACCCGAGGCATAGATTATTTTTAAGAGCAGTTTGATTCACCGAAATTAATGTAAAACGATGATGATTTTTGATTTAAAGCTTTCGTGACTGCAGGGATTCATCTTCTTGGTTCTTTCGGTAAAGTCACGTAGAAGGGAAGTAATAAAATAATAAAAATAAAACATAATAAAATTATTCTCACGACGTTTCGGCCACAACGCAAGCAGCCGTCCTCAGGTGAAAACCAGGTCCGTCGAGGCGACAGAGTCTGAATGAAACAGCTCGTGTGCTGTGAAACAGCTCGTGTGCGGCAGAAGAAAAATTATTAAATAAATGTGGATATCTACATAAAATGATATTATAAACTTACTATCCTAAAAATACAGTACCATATTTTAACACTAAAGCAGTTACTGACTCGCAACAACTTGCAATCATAAGTGACAGAGTTAATTTCGGGTAAAATCAATGAAAATGGGGTATGCCGATAGCATAAAAAATGAGGTGCGATAGAGCAAATCTGAGATCAGATTTGGAATCAGCACCCTGAAATTAGTCTAAAACAGCTGCAAAAGTCCAGGCCAGAAAAAATATTTTTTTTTTGTTGACCAGTATTATCTGAGGTAGCTCTGTGACATTCCACTTCACTGCATGGGTGGAAAAAAACCCGATTTTTCCAGCGGCAGGCATCGGGTTTTTTCTTTAATACAATTAAACCCTATTTCGGGGAATTAAAACCTGGTTTAATGAATACGAAACTCTGATCCAAGGCTTAGGCTGCTTCTTCGTCGGTGCTGCTATCGTACTCGGGGGGCCGTCGAGCACGGGCTAGTCGTAGAATGCGGCGGGCAGGTTGGTCTTGATGAACACGAGCTTCTCCTCCACAATCGTGGGCGCCAGTGAGCTCCTTAGCTTGGAATGGATGAAGCCCATCGTTGAGAAGTTGGCGAAATGCGGTTCTGCAATTAGATAATCTCAGTTGATCGGGTTTAATATAAAAAGACAATTAAACCCGATTGTAAAAAAAACCCGACTGTGCCACCCTTGCTTCACTGGACTGTTCTCCAATTTAAATAATGGCACTTGCTAGAGAGGTCCGATTGGATGCTTCGTCGACTCTTCTGTTAATGCGAATTAATTCAGACCCAAGTTCTTCAAGTAGTAAGCAACATTTCTAGAGATGAGTGATGAGATTGTATAATGTATTAAGATTATAAAACATCTTAATGGGATATGGCTTGCATATATATGAATTTGCTGAGTTTAATTATACATGGAACCTGAATTAAGCAATTCACATTTTCATCTTTGTTTCTGTTAAAACAGGTTATGCATTGTTCATTAAAATATTAACCTAAATGTGTTGCTATTAAAACACATGCTTTTTATCCAGCGACGTTAAACAAATAATTACCAACAAAAGACATCATGATTACGTGAACAGAGCGCATGCCCCACTAAGCAGCAGCGAACCACTCTGGGGTAGAAGTTGCCACAACACAATTTATAATTTACATGAAACTGACAACTTAAGTACACACAGCCACATGTCCTCTTCTCTGGCAATTTGCTAATGAGTCATAATTTAAAGCTTCCCTTTCATTAAGCAATGTTAAGCACGCAATTAGAATACAAAATTGGTACGATAGGGTTTCAAAGCCCCCCCCCCCCCCCAAAAAAAAATGGATGGCACGTGTCAGTTATAGAGCTCCGACAGAGGGCATTTGGCCTTCCCTTCCACGCTAGTAATACGTCTCGGAAGACGTGGGAGTATGCACGCTGTACCCCACCACACATGACCTGCCGATCGATTAACTGTGGTGAACCCATGTACTCTACAGAGTGGACAGAGGCAGGGAGATTTAAGAAATTATTGTTTTAACTGCCTGCACCGGCAGGCCGAACCGGCAATCTCTGGTTTGCAAGTCCAGTTGTGCTAACCCTTCTCAACTGGATCCTGTAGTTGACACAGATGTGCCAATTCTCTTGGTAAATGTATCTGCAACCATAGGGGCGAGCGTTCAGTCTCATGAGCGACACGTTTCCGAGGCCACGTTTTAGGAGAAATCCGAGCTCAACTAATAAAACATTCAACCCATTCCACAACCAAAATGCTCGATAAAAACGCATGACATGCCTCTTGCATTTTTCAAAGTTGTTGCAAAACCACGTTTGCTTTCATTGGGGTGAAGGATAAAGGCCTTTTCGTGGTCCACCCTATTATGTTGAAATGAACGTCATCAAAAAACGGCGAACGTCATTCATCGACTTCCCCGATCAGAAGAGCAGCTTTTGTAAAAAGTTTATTTTGGGGTAGATTGTGCAAACGTTTCAATACATTTGAATGCAATGTCTAGCACCATAAGAAAAACCGATATTTTTTTAAAGCTACAATCTGATCGTCCAGTTTATTGCTTTTAGGTTTGTAAAAATACATGTTAGCGTTAGTGGTCTCACAGTATTTGCGTACACTGGCTACAGTTTCACGGTCTGGAAAAGTATAATGCAGCCAATGTCCTGCATTCGATGATGGGCAAGTGAGCCTGTGCGAATGATTCGTGAGACAAATTGATAAGTGGCGAGTGCCGTATCAGCATTATAACAGATTCAATAAGCAAACATATATTGATTCCCATTAATCACACAAAAGCCACCTTGCATGATACACACACAAAATACAAAAACAATTACTTGGTCTAATATTTCAAGCAATACCCTCGTAGAGAAAATGATCTTGAGACTTAGTAAGGCTTTCATGGGTAAAGAAAGTTGTGCATGTACATTATGGCACCACTCAATATGCAACATGGAACATTTAACTTGCAGTTTTTCTCCCCTCTCATCCTCCTCTCAATTTGTTAGTTTTGCTGGAGGAGTCAACTGCTGAGAATGTCGTTCTACTCTTTCCATAGTCACAGGTTTCTCAGGATCCCCTCTGATTCTCTGCGATTATACTCGTCAACGATCACTATGTGTATTGCCTGTAATGCAGTTTTCAACTCCGTTGAGAAATTGTCTTTAAACTTGCTGTGGATTTAGTTTTACAGTCAAATGAATGAAACCAGAGGTGTGGCTTTGAAAAGAACAAACTTGAATTTTGAGTGGCACCATAACAGCCCTTTTTGCCAATCCACTGCTGGATGAAGGCTTCCCCACACTGTGTGAGTTATTTGATCATACTTGGCACTGGTCAGTGCGGGGTAGAGACAGTAGGGGGGGAGCATAGCTGTGGGAGCCGAAAGCAGTACAACAGATGTATCTGTACTTGCCCCGTGCTGCACACAATGTAGCTCCACAGCAGGCCCACAACACCCTTTTTATGCACTGTGATAAGCCACCCAAAAGCGCCAATCAAGCTCAAATATGCTGTTTGAAATCTGATAACATCAGGTGCATTCTGGGTGACTTGTGAAATGTATCTCGTAGAGTTACATTCAAGCAAGGCTGATTTGTGTAAGAGCTTTGTAAAGATTATAAATAGTGCATAAAGCAGTTTAAAAGTATTCGAAAATTACATTATTACAACTTTACAAAATTGTACCCTTATAATGGCCATTTTATGCATTATACTTTATCACTGTAACACACACACACACACATTTCAAAGGAATTAGAGTGAATAATATTAGGCAGAAATTGTGCCAGACTATTTATAATCGTGGAAGAAGTAATATTTCTTTTTTACTTTTATAATTATAAGCAGCTGGTAAATGCACTCTCTGAACAGTGCCGTACGTGTATCTTTGAGGTATTCTCAAGTATCTAATAATCGTCATCTTCTTCATCATCATAGACTGGGAAATCGAGGACGGATGGATTGTGAAGAATCTCTTCGGCCTCCGGAGAATCTGTGTGCGTGGAGCGAAGGGAAGCCATCAAGAAGGTTTATTAACTTTTGCATTCCATAAAAGAATAAATCATTTCAACTCCTATTGACCTACGTTCTTCAATTAACCAGGTGACAATCCATTTACCAGCCAGGTGCCTCAGCGCTAGAGCGAGCGGCTCGCAGTCAGTAGGTTGCAAGTTCAACTCCCAGTTGGTAAACACCGTTAGAACACTGTTGGAATTTCCCATAAACACTGAACTCTAATATCCAAACATTTCAAGCTGGCTAAACACAGCACATACTGCCACCAGGATGTCTTCAATGAATCAACAAAACTATTGGTCACATGCGTGAATATATATACTCTTAGTTCTTTCGGGAAAGTCACGTAGGTAAAAAAATGAAATTAATAAAAAAATAAAAAAATAAATCACGACGTTTCGGAGGCAACACAAGTCTCCGTCATCAGGTGGGACCGTGAATGATATAGTGTTAATTAACATTTCATTTGCATCTAAGTGCAGAACTTAATTATACGTCATGCTTTTTGCTCTATTTACGTAAATATTATTACGTAAATATTAATGTGTTCTTGGGCAACTCTTCATATGCCATTTTAAACATTGTTCACTAGAAAACTGATGGAAAAAAAGTAATTCTCAACATGCCCCATGGTGTGAAGTGCAATCTCCAACTCGTATCCTCTCTGGTGATCTGTGAAAAAGAGCTTCATGGCTCATCAGATTCCTCCAGTATAAATACATATCAAGGTCTGATTCATGTGCCATGAAAAAGGGCCATTGCCCTAAAACGTCACCTGTTATAAATATTTTGTTCCTTTGAAAGCAGCGTTATTGACAAATTTGAGTAAAAAAAAAAATATTATTTGTCTGAGTGCACCACTGCCAACACAGTATCACCAAATAATGATTAGTTTCATCATGTATTAGGCATGCGCCAATTTACGCTCCGCACTCTTCAATCCAAGAATCAATTATCCTTTCTCCTGTTGACACTGTTTGATAAAAATCGTATTTCTCATCCATCTCATTTGTTTTGCCCAGTTTGATCCAGTTCAGATATCAAACGCAGGTTTCTGGGTTTATAGCGGTGTGCGATAACTACTGCATGCCAAACTCATCGTCACACTTGGGCAGTGATTCATCGATGAACAGTAGCGTAACTAGCGAGTGGGCAGGAGGTGCTTTGCCCTCCCCCATCCCCTGGTGGGCAAAGCTACGAGTTGGAGCCCGCTTGACAACATCCATGAGGTATGTTTTCAACAGTGTTAAAGAATAAAAGTGTTAAAGAATAGAAACGTATTTAAAACGCGGTAACATTTTTTTTTAATGAAAATGCTTTTATTTACGTTTCATTTTTTATCTTAAATTAGAGTAGTAACTTATGGCTCCCACAAATTGCGCTAATTAAATATAGGGGCCCCACCTGACCGATTGCCGCACCCCCTGAGCCGATAGTGTAGTTACGCCACTGGTCATACACCTTGGAAGTATCGAGCTTAGGCAATGATTCTATGATAAAAAAAAAACATCTGATGAGGTGTTCACAAAACGTTGGCATGGATTCACCACTACATTACCGCTTTCGCTGCACTGTGCTGCATGGGTAATGAGGGTGGGGGGGGGGTGCACACCTGGGCTAATGATGATAAGACGCGCGGTGGCGTAGGCTTCCCCGAGGCGGTTGCGCGCGTAGCACACGTACACGCCGCTGTCGCTGGGGCGCACGTTGTGGATCTGCAGCCAGCCCGTCATCTGGTAGCGCTGGGGGCCTCCCCGCGCCTGCAGCACCGGCCATGAGCGGGTTTAGGAGCACACACGCAACGCACGCACACCATGCCAAAGCCGAATCTTGGCCGCTAAAAAACTTTGCGATGAGGCAGGGGTCAGGGGTTTTCTGTCGCCCATGATTAAACTGCGTTGTCAAGTATTATGAGTTGATCATCTCTGCCAACGTTGTTGTAACGTTTGGACCAGCCCCTACTGGACATCTGTGTTAAAATAGCTTCATAGCTCATTGGATTCCTCCTGCAGTATAAATAAATATTCTGATTCTGACTGCACACCCAAAAATCCAACACGTGACATTCGTTATTTTCCCCTGCTTATTTTGGCGACGCTTCAGCTCTGAGAATAAAAATTATTGTTTAGACTGCAATGTGAGAAAACACACCTCCTAGTGTTTGGATAAAAGGTCATTGGAAGGGATCTCGTTCGAAGGGAAGTATGTGCTTCTGTGCAATCTGTTTCTGCGGACTTTTTCTCGAACACACGGGAGTGATGCGCCGTAACGCAAGACTTCCGAATGGGATCCGTGCCTCGTGACACCGTGCCGCGGTGGCGTAGCTATCGAATGTGAAGTTGTGGCTTTACTGCATTCACAGCCCCACAGGCAGGAGGGGCCCACGTGCAGCATATTTGGAGTTTGCGCGTCTCTCTCTTTTTCTCTCCCCATGGTGGCGTGGATTTTCTCGCCGGGTCCTCCCGTTTTTCCCTTCACATTTAGAATCAACATCACGCGTTTGGAACATTTGGCTGCTTTGAATTTCCACGCAATATGCCACTTGGTTGAGCTTATCATTTGTGGCCAGGTCGCTTGTAATAAAAAAAAAATTAACCCGTAAAAACAAAGTTTTTCACTATAAATCCTTTATATGCGTGACATCGGTTTTATATTATTATTCATTTTTGTTTTTCTTGAGTAAGAGTTTCATTTTTATCACATTGGTATTTTAAATGAAATATGAATAATTTTTTGTTCCTAAAAATAAATTGTCACGCACAACGAGTCTGCGTGCAAAATGTCAGCTCGATTGGATCACGGGAAGTGGGTTGAAAAAACGACCGAAAGATTTGCACGGTCGTAAGCGCGCAAGCAAGCAAGCAAGCGAACTTAATATAAAGGATTTAACAACTAAATAGCTCAGTGGGCCTTACCCGGTAAAATAAAAAATAAAACATCTTAGCAGCAGGGAAGAGATAAGAAATTGGACGTGCGGCCCCACGAGTCGGCCCGCACCTGCACGGCGAGGTGAGCGTCGTCAGCCGGGAGGAGCTCGTCCACGCCCTCCTTCCTCCACTCGACGAACGCCATGGGGAAGCCCGACACCTCGCAGCCGAACACCACGTCGCTGCCGCTCACGTTCACGATGTCCTTCGGCGGCATCGCGATCCATGGGGCTGGGGCCACGGGTGCAAGCAAAGGTCGAGTTGTCCAAGTTCAAGTTCAGCCACATAAGACGACAGCATCTACCCTTCAATACCAACGCCCAGGGTCCCTGTTGGGAAAGTCTCCAAGCGAGCCCCCTTGCCAGGGGTCCCTTCTGGCCCCAAGGCCCTCCAAGCGAGCCTCCTTCCCAGGAATTCCTGCAGGGAAAGTCCCCAAACGAGTCCCCTTTCCAGAGGTCCCTCGTGGCCCCAAGGCCCCCCTTGTGAGCCTCCTTCCCAGGAGTCCCTGTAGGGGAAGTCCCCAAACGAGTCCCCTTTCCAGAGGTCCCTCCTGGCCCCAAGGCCCCCCAAGTGAGCCCCCTTCCTATTCCCAAGTCTAAAGCCGTAACGGTCGATGGAATACAAACACGAGGCCTGTGGGCCAACCCCTCCGCCTGCTCCTCCTCCTCCACTCACGAACTTCTCTCGCTCAATTTCGATTTAAAGCTTTCGTGACTGCAGGGATTCATCTTCTTGGTTCTTTCGGTAAAGTCACGTAGAATGGAAATAATAAAATAGTAAAAATAAAACATAATAAAATAATAAGACAGAGTCAGACTCTGTCTTCTCGACAGACCTGTTCTCCACCTGAGGACGGCTGCTTGCGTTGTGGCCGAAACGTCGTGAGAATTATTTTATTATGTTTTATTTTTATTATTTTATTATTTCCATTCTACGTGACTTTACCGAAAGAACCAAGAAGATGATTCTCTAGCTCAGACAACCTGGTGGGCAGGGGTAACGAGGTGCCACATGCCATCATTTGCCTTCCCGTGTTGTGTAGGTAACAATGCTCGTGTTAGTTTATTCTTATTATTTAGATTACTGGTAATAATAATATGTAAGTAATAATGGTAATTCTCAGCCACTGTGTCAATCCTCTGCTGGACGAAGGCATACCCACACCATTTGGATCTTGGGGGTTGTTTGACTTGACTTCACCATGCTACTGGTGACTATGGAAAGGTAGGTTTTGATGGGGCATGACAAATTGAGCTCTTTAAACCCTGGCTTAAGGGGTTCGTGCAATTGTCAGATGAGAAAGAAACACACATAGAATCCTGGCTGCACGTGCCACGCTACATAGTTGATGAAAACAATGCTCTCGTTTGTAGAACGTATGATAATCTCAGGCCAGATGTGAGTGATTATATAAAATTCCATATGTGTACGGGATAGTTCTTGAATTGGAAACCACCGTGCATATAAGTGTAATAAGATTATGTGGCGCTAATATGTGAGCAGCAGAGGAGAGTCTGTTGGACTGTACTCCTACGCTCCCGCATCTAAGCTTGCCGGCCTTCACCAACACGCAATGACCAGTACGGTGAAGTACGGCAAAATAATCCCCACGGCCAGCATGGCATGGAGAGGCCCTCATCCAGCAGTGTATTGACAGAAGGGGGGCTGCACATGTACCTGGGTTTGGGTTCGAGTTTCGAGCTTAATTCAGTGGTGCTCAGCTTTAAGAACGTAAGGAAAAAAAACAAGGTGCCAGAGACTGAGTGAAACACGCAATCTCTCGCACAGCTGGAAAACACCTTATGTTTGGGCGGCTGGGGGGGGGGCTGGGGGGAGGGCTAGTGGCTGGTGGGCAACAGAGGTGCATTGATATAATCCCTGCGATGCTTCATTGCAGGGCTGCTCGTGGCCTGGAACTGTCACTCTGCTCTCAGCAGGCGGTTTATGGTGATGGAAGAGCAGCTCCGCTCTATAAATTATGCTGGTGGCACAATTGTGAAATATGAAACCTCTGTGCCCAAACAAAGCATCCAATACTGAATTGTGCAGTGTCCCTGGTGAGAGAGGTGGAGGTTATTGGCAGGAGACGTTGAGGTTACTGGCAAGAAAGTTTGAGGTTACTGGCGGCAGCGGTTGAGGTTACTGGAATCCAGTGAAGACTGCACAACGGCTTCTAGGCTTTCGCCCCCTCCATCCTGTCACTTGCTCTCTGAAGTGTCCTCAGGTTGTACCAAGTATTATTCACCGTGAAGTCTGACGTTTCGCTCCACATGCTGGAAGCTTCTTCAGGAGTTATACAGCACAAACAAACAAAAACCTACACGGTAGTATCATGTCAACTATTTACACAGGAAAGTCTGAGTTTCCACCACACTTGTTCATCAGGATTCCTTCAGACGCTGTCTCCCCGACAGACCTGGTCTTCACCTGAGGACAGCTGCTTGCGTTGTGGCCGAAACGTCGTGAGATTTATTTTATTAAGTTTTATTTTTATTATTTTATTACTTCCATTCTACGTGACTTTACCGAAACAAGCAAGAAGATGAATCCCTGCAGTCACGAAAGCTTAAAATCGAGAGTCTTACTGCTTCCCGTGGTGTGCACTTCGCTCTCAACCTGACGCACCAAGTTCCATTTCCGTGGCGAATGATACCACTCACACGCCCCCCCCCTCACCACCCACCACATCAACAACCGACATGGCTGGGGAGGACTTCATCCAGCAGCGGATTGAGTTATTCTTATTATTATTGTTTACCAACAGGAGCTCGTGTGTGACCCCATCCCATGGAATGCGCCCAATCCCATCAGCTAAGCCGAGGTGAGCCTGGATACTTATTGGATGGGTGACCACCATGAAAAGCAGGCGCTATAGCCTGCAGGGCTACGTTATAGACAACAGAGGGCATTGCAACAACATCCATTGTTGTACTGTACATCTATTCCCCCACCCCCATGTCTATGCTCCGCACCTTCAATGGCGCATTGACCAGCGTGGTAAAATGTGGTCAAATTAACTCCCATAAAACGTTTGGCGTGCAGAGGCCCTCATCCAGCGGTGGATTGGAAAAAAAACACTGTCCATGTACCAATCTTCCGATTGAGCAGTTTGAGTGCATCGGGATGTTCAACTAACGGTCATGGGTGAAGGAGGACTTTACAAGATTACCGGGGACTGACACAACACAGGTCTGAGCCAAATCCAGGGTCAAGAGGTCAGGGAAGGCATGTGGCTGGCCGGCTTCCCGCCTGGGCACTTATAGCCCAGGCGGTGAATAGGACAGGGAGGCTAATCAGCGAACAGCTCAGAGACCGTGTTTATCAGCCAAACAAATTCCCTGCTTTATTGCCTTCGACCGCACAAGGTCACGGTAAGCACGACGACGTCTGAAATTGTAATTCAACGCAGGCGGCAATTGAGTCGAGAATAACGTCATTGGAGCGCTGCTTGAAATTGCGAATGCGAACTTTGTTTTACGTTATTTCAATAAATCTGCAAAATAATTCGGGCAGATTTGCAGTCACGAATCTTAAACGCAATGTTTAGCTACTGACTGAGCTGCGGGGTAAAATTCTGCAGTGGCTATATATTTATATTTTGTATGACCGATTTGCTTGTACAACGTAGTCTATTCTAAGTCAGCCTAAATTTACACCCCAATGGTGCCATATCCCTGATCATGCTCACCAGCCATGCTCTATAGTCTATCCACTGCTGGATGAGAGCCTCCCCCAAGCCGTCGTCGTCTCTGACAGTCTCGCGATGCAACAGTCCATGTGTAACGAGCTGATGAGATCGGTCGCATCTGCGGTGTACGTGCCCTCGTGTTTGTGTCTTCCCTTCTTCGGCTGCCACTCTGTCATTAGTCTCAGCCACCGACCATCGTCGTCAATTCCTGTGACGTTCCCCGCCCAAGCTGACCTCCTTTTCTTAACAGTCAAAATGTATGTCAATAGCTTTCGTATGTTCTCTGCTCTGTGCGTTCCTCTCCCGGTCTCTTCCTCTCCCCGGTGTGGGATACAATTGCATCATTCCATGAGTGCGTGCCAAATGGGGCATGTAAGAGATTCATCAATTCATGTAGTCGTCTTCTTGGTTCTTTCGGTGAAGTCACGTAGAAGGAAAATAATAAAATAATAAAAATAAACATAAAATAATTCTCATGACGTTTTGGCCACAACGCAAGCAGCCGTCTTCAGGTGGAGAACAGATCTCTGCTTTCTCGACAGACCTGTTCTCCACCTGAAGACGGCTGCTTGCGTTGTGGCCGAAACGTCGTGAGAATTATTTTATTATGTTTTATGAGAATTATTTTATTATGTTTTATTTTTATTATTTTATTATTTTCCTTCTACGTGACTTTACCGAAAGAACCAAGAAGATGAATCCCTGCAGTCACGACAGATTTAAATCATGTAGTCATATCGATGGATTCACTCAAGATACATGCATAACATTGCGTGCAAGAAAATAAAAAAAATTAGTTTCACATGCAATGTATGCGAGTATTTCACGTAAACTCTGCAACCACTAGAGGCACTGCATTCACGACTAATGGCAAAAAATGATAAATTCTTCATTCGAATCACTCCCACGACTTTTGGCAATTCATTACATTGTTATGGTGGGGCTCCATTCATCATCGTCAGCAGCAGCAGCAGCCGAGCTCTATCTACTGCTGGATGAAGGACTTTCCAAGCTGTCACCCGTCACTAATGGCTTCGCGATGCATTGTTACGCTGCTGCATATCGCGAGTAGACACGCATCACCACCGCCGCAGCCACTCGCACGTGTAATGCAGGAAAGAGCCATCCGACTGGGAAATGGAAACTCATTGCGAAAATTCCTTCCACAGGTGGCAATACATCTCCTGCAATAGCTCGTTATTTCTCACCGCTATTCCTCTATGGCACGGCAGCTTCCCATAGACATTGCACGAGGAATGCATCCATTTGCCCAGTTATAAGTTGAGCAGGTGGGATATTTAAGTACAATAATTCGTGTTATTTTCACTGTCACTTGTATGCATTTCTTACCATTTCGGGCCAACTGGCCTTCCTTCAGGAAATATTGAGGATTACACAGGGTCTTAAATATACTGGAGAGGGTTTGGCGATCGGTGATATCAGATGATGAACTTACTGAGGTGCACTTGTGTTTTGAATGCATTGCAGAAGTTAATATAGGTAGTGCTAAGTAGATTTCACAAGCAGTTGATGAGGTCAGCCT